ACACACACACACACACTACGTGCATGCTATTGCTTTTTGTTGTGGATTATAATAATAATGGATTGGATTTATATAGCCCTTTTCAAGGCACCCAAAGCGCTTTACAATACCACTATTCATTCACTCTCACATTCATACACTGGTGGAGGCAAGCTACACTTGTAGCCACAGCTGCCCTGGGGCAGACTGACAGAAGCGAGGCTGCCATATCGCGCCATCGGCCCCTCTGGCCAACACCAGTAGGCGGTAGGGTAAAGTGTCTTGCCCAAGGACACAACGACTAGGACAGAGAGCCCAGGGATCGACCCCCTGAGCCACGGTCGCCCTTAACCTGTCAAGGACAAAAACAAAAAAATTCTGCATCAAATACAGGAAATCATAGCTTTCCTGTGTTTCCTAGATTGTTGGCATGGTGGTTAGTGCTGTTGCTTCACAGTAAGAAGGTCCTGGGTTCAAATCCACATTCTGGCTAGTTTGCAGTGGTTTCTCTCTGGGTATTCTGGTTTCCTCCCACAGTTAAAAGTCATGCAGTTAACTGGTGATTCTAAATGACCCGTGAATGTAAGTGTAAATGGTTGTTTGTTTCTATGTGATAGACTGGTGAGCTGTCCAGGGTGTACCCTGCCTGGTAACCTATCACTTCAGGGTTATTTCCCAGCCCCCCTGCAACCAGGATAAAGATAGGAGGATGGTAGTTGTTGTAGACCCATTCAATTTTTATGGTAACCAGGATCTAGACTTTGTTGAACATTATGTAATATGAAGACAACATGTAGTATTTAAGTGACCAAGTAGTATTGGTGTAAAAGTTATTGAATAGTGTTGAAATAAAATGACAAAATTGTGAAGGATTAAAACATTCCAAGAGCTCAACTTACTCCATCTGAACATGTTTCAATCGCGTTTTATGAACACAAAATGTACAGGTTTACTGAATATGAAAAGGTTGTGCTGTTTTAACTCAGTTGTTTAAGTTTCTGCCAAAGCAAACAATTTGTGTGCAACCAATGTCCACTACTGAATCAGGTTAGGGCTGTTCAATTAATCAAATTTTAATCACGATTACGATCTGGGCTTTCAACGATCATTAAAAATGACTGAGCCGATTATTAGCCCCTCCCTCGTGCTTTACTCTCGCACTGCTCCGTGTGGCAAATTGAGCGCACCTCTCTGCATTTTGAACACGCGTCACAACAATTAAGAGGACCCGAGGGAAGCTCGGAAAGCTAAGCAGAAGTTATTTGGAGAGGAGAGTGACTGCCGTTGGTTAAAAAAAACTTCACTGGTGTGGAAACATTATGGGTTCGCGGAGTCAGACGTGGATCAAGTAGACATAGTGTGTAAACTTTGCTACAGTGTCGTAGCTGCACCACAGAGCAACACTGCAAAGTTCACTAAACATAGATGTTTACATTTTTCATTTACTTCTTATATTGCAAACATTTGCACTGTTATCAGTATTTGCACACTATTTTATATTATTTTTTAAAGTCATTATTCAATACATTGTTATTGTTAACCCTTTAAAGCCGGTCAGAGCAGCATGCTCCGTTTTGTGTAACTATTTTTAAATCCCTGTAGAACCTGAACCGTGTAAGCTAGCGCAATAATTTGTATGCCATCAGCTTGTCCTCGGTCACGGTTTCCTTCCACATAAAGCTTTGCAAAAATTGCATAAAAAGCGCTTGCAGGAACAAAAACATAATATTCCCGAAACACACTTTGCCGATACGATCAGCTGTTCGTAACACTTCCCACATTGAAACAGACTCAGCGCGAACTATCGCATGTCCGCCATTTCCTGCCCGAAACCGGAAGTGACGTCATTTTCGCGGAAAATGTAGTTTTTTACTTGTAGGCCTTAAAAGCCTATACTGGTCATGTTTGACTTTTCTGAATAGTTTCTGGGATGCTTAGAACTCGAATTGCACTGCTGGAAATAGTTTATTTTGATGCACCTGCTGTTTTCTTTGCAAATTTGCATCATAGGATTGTTTTTTGTTTTTCCTGCAGTATATAAAAATTGCTGTATCTCCAAAATAAAACTATGAAGACATTCAAAATAAGTTTCCTGTTATTGTAAACTATTCTTTGCAACTTTTTTGTATTTAAAGTTTTGAGGGATAAACCTCTTAAATTTCTCCAAATAGAAATATATGTAAAAAAAAAACCAAAAACGATTTTAAATTTTTTTTTGTAGTTTATTGCACTTTTTTGCAATTAATGTAGTTACTATGGACTTAATGCATACATATTATTAAAATATGGGTTATAACAGTCGTATAGCAACTTGAAATGCTCCCACAAATGGCACTATAGCATGTAAAAAAAAAAATAATATAAGCTCTGGCGGACTTGGTTCTATGGTAGGTCTTAAAGGGTTAAATAAATATCGTCAAATAATCGAGATCTCAATTTCAGTGAAAATAATCGTGATTATCATTTTTGCCATAATCGAGCAGCCCTAAATAAAGTAAATCCAACATGGCCTTTTTTTCAATGTAGTTGGTGTGTAGTGTAGTCAATAGATTTGTTGTGTGTGTGTCAGAACAACGAGGCGACTGCTGGGTGTTACAGATGTTACAGGAGTGACACATCTCCTGTTGTTTATTTTAAAAAATGCATTGGCTGCATTTTTAGGTAAACAGCTGCAAAAAAAAAAAACTTGTTGTTTGCATAATTCAGTTACTTTTTTGAAGAAGTAACTATATAATTAATTGCCCAACATTGAGTTACAGGACTCTCTCCCAGACCACAGACTCATACTCATAATACAAGTCAGAGCTTTATAAAAAAAAAAAAAGAAAGTTGTGTTTTCAAAATTGGAATTTTCTTTTTTTTTTTGCTTTTTTGTTATAGTTTTCATTTTTGAAAACCTTGTGAATGTGATAACTCAAGAAGGAAGTCACCTAGGATTTTCAAATAAGTATCATAACAAGTATCATCTACTAAAAATCTCAGTGACGTTAAGTTTTCTGAAAATCTTGTGAACACAGTAATTTGAGTAAGATGTCACCTAGGTTTTTCTAATTGATACCAACAGGTGCATCTACAGGAAGGTTGAGAGGTAGCACTGGCGGCCAGTGTTTTTTATGCTTATAACTGTGAGCTGCAAAATGAGGTTACTGAACTATGCAGGAAATCATATTGTTAAATTATTGCTATTCATTTACTTATTTGTTAATTATTTAATAAATTTTTTTAAGTTTTCATTTGCTTGGACAATGGAGAAGGGCGACAGGAAGGTGGGGGGAGAGAGTGATGGAGAATGAAAGGAACTCTAACCTTAAGTAAAAGTTTCCTACTCCCACCCATTGTCATAATTGTCTGTTTAGCCATTCATTTTCGTAGTCTGTGGCTTTCATATCTTTCATATTTGTATCATCTTGTTTTTTGTTGTTCTACACTTTCCTACACATTTTCCTAAATGTTTCTTGCTTTTGCTTCCTGTTTGTTTACATCATAGGTCTTAGGGGAATTTTTGCTTATTTGTCATTAGTATTGATTAATTGTTACTAAATTTTTATTTACAGTGTAATGAATTAGGTTTACATTATCTTCATAGCTTTGTGGCTACAGTGCCTGCGGTAGCTGGTGCATTATCCTGCACATTGCAATGCTTTGCATTGTCAAGTCAAGTTAAGTCATCTTTATTTATATAGCACATTTAAAAGACATCAAGTGTCGGCCAAAGTGCTGAACAGAGGGATAATATAATAAGGAGAATTAAAATAGAATGAAAACATTAAAGAAAGATTGTAAGACATCCATATATGTTGTCATCCCAGAAGAAGCCGTTCTCATTGCAATTCTTAAATTCTTAATCAAAGCTTAGAACAACTTCGTAGTGATTAGTTGTCACACTCACATGTCTAAGAACAACTGGGTCCAAGCCATAACCAGATCTTTGTGTTGGTGTCAAGGATTCAGGACTTTAATTAGCCTTTGGCCATATGTATGTGTCTAGCTCTCAAAGCGTCAGTGAGTCGCTCGGACACTTGATTACTGAAGTGTTTTTTGATTGCTTTTGGCTACAGGATCATCACAGCTGAGAGAGGAGAAAAAACAAAATGACAAACCCCCCAAATCCAATGACCAGTCTCTGAATCACTGTCACCACCACTGACTGTAGGTTTGGTGCAACATTGCCATCTGCTGATAAGTAACTGGTATTAAAAAAAATATAGCTGGAGGAACATTTTGCAGCTAAGTAGCTTAATTGACAACGGGTCAATAAACACGTTTGGATATAAACAACAGTGTCTTAGAAAGACAGAAAAGTGCTTTTTCAGAAGTAAAATGGCCACAGATTCACCAATCTGGAAAAAAATGTGGAAGAATTTCAGGATAGGGCATTATGGTCGTGCTGTGGTTAGCACTGATGCCTCAAGGCAATAAGGTCCTCAGTTTGAATCTATTATCTGACCCAGATTATTAAATTTGGGATGTATGCAGGATTCGACTATATAAACACTGACATGTGTGCACTTTGTATTCATATTATTAACATTCCTTGTGTACACGGTATTAAAGTTTTGAAGGACGTTGAAGTTTTTCAAAAACAACACGAAGCATCCAGGTGTTGTTACGCTGCTGGGACGACAGCTCTCAGAGTTAGACGAGGCTCTATAACTATTTACATGTCGGCGTCACTGAAGTCGCACCGAAACCTGAGTTGTTACAGATGGTGACTTGCATGGCACCAGTGAGAGAGTGGGAGAATGTTTGTTGTTGCTCAGACTGAAAATAGTTACATCATCTGTTGTTTGTCTTTTGTCTTGCCAAATGTTTTTTGTGAAACACTGAAGCCACAATACATTTACAACAAACTTCACAACTGACTTGGCATTTTTGTGCTGATGTCTTCATCTCTCTTGCAGGTTACTAGTTGAAAACATGTTTTGTTTGGTGTTTGTTTGTTTTTTTGTTTTTATAGCATTTCAATACTAAAAGTTTTGTCTTTTCTGACTATTTTTTTTTGGGGGGAGGGGTCCCATCAGCCTGGAGTCTTCCTGAGGATCTACAACCTGCGAGCAATTGCAGGATCCAGTACAGTGCCTGGTCTTACCAGAAGCCAATTACAGGTAGATCACCTGGCTTTTCATCTGCACGGAGGGACGTCATATGGCAGAGGGATCGGGATTCTTCCTGATAACAGCCCTGACGTGCAGGAGCTGAAGAGGTACGGTGAGAGATGAGAGAAAAATGTGATTTGTTCCTCGGCTGCAGCAGAGGGGTGGAGCAGTGGGTTCAGGGTGTGGTGTCAGGTGATGACTGACTAAAACTGACCTCCATCATCTTATTGTGACTGTTTGGGTAGTTTGCCGGGACATGGCGTGAGAGCATTGTGGGGAGCAGGAAGAGTCAGCTTGCAAGCTGTATGAACTGAAATTGTAAAGCTTTTGTAAACAAACATTTATGTGCATTACAAGTCTGTGTGAGTGGGGTCCTTTTGTCACAGCAGCACTGGACAATATAAAGAAAAATGCATTTATCAGTAACACACAACTGTGCTCCCACACTGTTTTACTAGTAACTATACCAGTTGAGTAAGTAAGATGTACTTTAGACACTTTTTTTGAGAAAAAGTGTCTTGAAAAAAACGTTTTAGGGAAGCCTACTCCATGGTGTACACAGCTGTCCATAACGGAGTATTATCGCCACCAAGACTTAATCTTGGTTAAGAATCAACCCTGTATTATGGATGCTCTTGTTTTTGTCTGTAAACTATAATTTTATTGTAGTATTTGATTCATGTTCCTGGTTTTATTTGCTAAGTGTGTAGTATTTTTTGTCATCTTTGTTTTTGATTGCATCACTAAATACATTTCTTTTCTTTTTATTTCTGTCTATAGAGTTATTGAAGCTTTCCAAGAAAATGATGAAGAAGCACTCTCTGAACTCAACGACTCAGATCTCTTGGAGGTCTGGAAAACTCCACCAGAGTCTCTTGGTATGAATGAGCTCTAGATTTCGCACTTCCGTACTAACTATGGTCACTGCTGCTCTTACTGATTAAACTTAAATAGATTTCAAACAAGTCTGATTTTACAGGACACTTATATAATCGCTCATGCAGTAATATTATGTCTATAACATTCCAAAAACTGTAAATTCCAAATCCACAATTTCGTTTATACCTTTGTTAAAAAAGATGGAAGATATCATAGTTTTGTTTTTATTGTGATTGCGAAAAACAAATATGCTGTATTTGAACTTCATGTTTTACCTTAACAGACTTCGAAACATTACAGGAAAATGGGAATAATAATTGAATTCATGACATAGTAACAGTGGTATAGTTTTTTTTCTATAAAGTACAGTTAGTTTAGTTTTAAAACTCAAATTAATTTACTTTTGTCCTTTAAAAGCTTCTGTTTGTGTAATGCTTGTATAGTGTTTACCTTTTATCTGTACTGAACAGCTAAAGAAATTTATAACTAAAACTGTAGTGTTGAATTTACTTCTATGTAGTTCTTCAGATATTGCTTTACAAACTGTTGTACAGTACCAAGGAGATGTTTAATTCAGGATAGCGAGCTTGCTGTTGTGTGCTAAATTTAAGCCTGTCCAACTTAATGCTTATTTATTTGCCTTCTTGTGTTTCGTTCCGTCTTTGATGCTTCGATTTGTTCTGTGTTGTAGATGGTGAAACACTGGATTGCAGTACAGGTATGAAATTCGGCACTGCATTGGTAATTGCTAATTGGTTTGATTTGGAAGTGCAGGTAATGTATTATAATGAATATAAAGCAGTAAATTAGGACCAATCCTGTCTAAATAAAAATGACTTTTTTTAAAGTAAATCCTTAATTTATTTTAAAAAATGACATCTGTGTATAATTTCTAATGTGGTTTTATATTTATTTACCATTTTAATAATTGTTATCCATTCTATTTACTATTTACTACCAAGTGTTTAATGATGAACATTTTTCCTCTGTGGGTTGGTGTTTGTGTTCAGAGAGAAGCTGTGGCCATGACATGCAGAAGGTGACACTATCTGAAGTTAAGCGGAGTGGCCTGGGTCGAGTTCACCATGTCAGGGCCCAGCTGAAGGCCTATGAACCCCACAGACTGCATGAGGCGCTCAAGCTTTACTGCAGCAAGTGTAAATCAATGTAGGCACATACGCTCTGTTGTTGCTTCATGTGGTAATGTGTAGATTTTAGTGCTGTCAGTGTTAATCTCATTAAAATGACATTAATGCCATAACTGCAAATCTCCGTTAACGAGTTACCGCAGATCGCCCCACTGGATGGCGCTAACGCATTAATGAGCTAACCGCGCTAACGCTTTGACGCCGTCCAGCCCCACGCACGGGCGATCCGCGGTAACTCGTTATCAGAGATTTTCCGCGTTAATGCAGTTATGGCGTTCATTCATCATTTTAACAAGATTATCGCTGACAGCACTAGTAGATTTTGATTTGATCTCAGATGGTGTTGATATATAAGTTTAAAATGATGATGATCTCAGGCAGGATGTCCCAGATGATGAGCTGTTGGAAAGTATCTTCTCTGAGGCATCAAAGGACTGTGGACCCTGCAGTCCCCCACCATGGGTGCTCTCTGGACAGGTCAGCCTCCCAAGACACGCCCCAGGTCCCTCAAACCGAGCTCTAACTGTTTACCTGCTCACTCAGCTTATGTTTGAGGGCAAAACCAAGGATGTCATCTTGCTCATGGGTAACAATCCGCAATTATTAGAAAGCATAAAAGCTAAAAACATATCAAAAGAAATATCAAGACTGTGGTCTAGGAATCCTTCCATCATCAAATCCACAAAAACTCCTATATCTTGGTATCTTACAGGTTCAACACTGGAGGAAATGTGCCAGCTCATGGCCAGCTACCAGAACATCATCCCCGTAAGGGCATCAGGAGGTCACCTGTCTCTGTTCGACCTATCTGCACCTTTTCTGTTCAGAGGCAGGAAAAGATACTACGGGTCAGAGATAAATCTCACACACTGATAGAGTGCTGGTAGAGCTAAGCAGGAGCTTGATCAGTCATAACGATTCCATCAATATTGACAACCACTGATTATTATTTATACTTTAAATGTTTTTCAAATTTATATATTAAATGGTTATACGCACATGCAATTTAAAGATTGTAACGAAGACAAATAACAAATAAATAAAACACACCCTTTATAATGACTCAAATATAAGCGAGCGTAGTCATTTTAAAGAGTGTGTTTGAATTTTCTTGACCCCGCCCACTTAAATAATGGATATTGAGAGGCTGTCACAGGCTGTTATTTTCTGTCATTTTTATTTCTTTATTTTTATATAATTAAATATTTTAAGAGAATTCTTAGGAGTAACTCATTCATAACAAAAATACAGAACAGATGATGCTTTTATTAATCCATTATGTCACCACAAGATGAATTTCCACAGTGAGACAGTATGTTTGGTTTTGTGTGTCTGCTGTTGTTGCCTTGTCATTTTTCTTATTCATAAGTTACTGTCCTTAAACAGATTGGCAGTTCAGAAGCTTTTATATAAAAATGTTTTTTGACCTTCAAATTCTGATTCAAACAGTCGTGTTAGTTCTTGAACATGTCGTCATTGTAGTGTGTGTGTGTGTGTGTGTGTGTGTGTGTGTGTGTGTGTGTGTTCCAGCTGTAAGCGGTGTTCCAAGGCTGCAGTGAGGGAGCAGAGTTGGGAAGGAGTTGAGATGATAGATGAGAAAATTATCGCTGAAGGTGAGACAGAGATTTGTTTGAATCATCAGACTGTCGGAGTAAATACTGGTGGTGGAGAAGAGCTGAAAGCAATTAAAACAAACAGATAACACAAAATTGCCAATGCTTCATGTTCGTAGGGACCTGTAGGTTTGGTTTTTGTGGGAAGCGGGCTTTGTAGTAAAAATGAATATGAAAAAGTAATCATTTTTTCTCCCGACTATCTTGTGTTTTTTTACAACTTTTTCATAACTGAAGCCAAAATCATATTTCAACTTCCAAGTTCCAAGCAGCGCAACAAAGAACGAAGTGAATAATGTGGAGACATTAATGTGACTATTGTGGCAAAACAAACTCGTCGATTGTCAAATGTCAGCTAAGACTTCTCAGGCTGCACTTTTTCCTCTGTGGACATTGGCACATTTGAGTATCTTTGTGTTTAGAGTGTTGGTTAGACAAAACAAGACATTTAAAAATGGCATCTTTGGGAAATTTCTTATGCATTTTTTGGTCTCAATAATAATTTTTTAAAAATTGACATTAGGGTGCAGCCCTGTTTTTTAGGATATCATAACTTTAATTAGGTGTTGACCTTGAATGCATCAAGAACAGATTCAAAAGTTATTATATTAGAAACCGCACTATTCCTGTGTTTGTGTCTTTTTCTCACTTAAGTTTCCTCACTGAGTTGTAGAAATTCCTGGCTGATCTCTATCCAGGTCAATTTGAACTTCTGAAATAAATCAGGCGATGTTTCTGCTTATTTGGCCTGCAGCTCTCGGCATTCAGCCGCTGCAGTTCATCCTGCTAATGAAACTGGAGCTGCAGGATGCCACCGACACGCTGGATGTCTTCCTGTGGAGACACGCTGTGAGTTTCACATTCCTGTTGTTTGGTGTCAGATGGGATTAGACAAAGGGAGAACATCTGGATTTATTATATATTTCACTGTTGTCTTGTAAAATTTTGCGCTGATTGAGTTTTTTGCCCTAAAGAAGTCAGGTCCAAAATTCATATATTTTGGTGTTTTGGATGTCAGCAAATCAAATTCTGAATTTGTAAAAGCTCTTGTCTAACCAAGAATGTGGGTAAAGTAGAAACATTAATTTGCTTCTTACAGCAAGATATAAATAAGAGGATAACTGAAAGTAACTTTTGTTTATAATGTCTGTGAGCTTTGTAGATGTAAATGCTAGTTGTGAGTTTTACTTTCTTTTTTCACCAGGAATCATTCTTTGGTGTGTCTGCAGAGGATGCTTCAGCCAATCAGGAAGCTCAGAACAGCATCTGCCAAATCATGGACTCTCTCTGTCCACCAGGTGGCAACGTGGGTATGTCTGTCAAACCCATACACAGTACATAAAAAATTGACATAGCTTCTTGGTCAGAAAAGTTGAGGATGTGTGCCTTAAACCTGCATGTTTTTTTTAAAAAAGGGCAATAGGTCCCAGCTCCTCTGGTCATATTAAAAAAAAGGTCTGGCTGTATAGAAATCTCCAGTGCCTCTCAGCTACCTGGATCTCTGACTTCAGAAAAAAAAGCTTCTATGTTTTTCATTGCAGTTGCTTCTTTCATGCTTTTTGGAAGTCCAGTTTGAAAACAGAAAGATGGAAATTGGAAAACACTCATAAAAATGTGACATGACTCATGTCCATCTTTCATTCAGTGTGCATGGTCAAATCATTAGAATAATTCTTCAGTTTTAGTTACGGAAACATAATAACTTTAGATCTAAATTGTGTAATGAACTGGACCAAAACATAGAATCAGACATGACATACTGAAAGCTTCAAAGGCATTAATTTGGCTTTTTAATATGTCTAACTTTACAGCTCTGTGGTAGAGATTTGGGGAAACAAAACATTGCACAAAACAGTATGTGAACAATATATATATCTATATATAACAATATACAAAAAAAACTTCCTGCAGCTTTGCAAAACCAGAAGCAGCAGCAGGCTTAATGTCAGCCGCAGGTTTGTGTTGCTGGATGCTTTGTCATGTCTGCCTGTTCGTCCTCAGGTCAGCACCCATGGCTCGACTTATGTTTGATGGCATATCAAGCAGAGGACGACGATGGACAGACCTGCTATCAGGTCTGTCACACGACTGTTGTGAAACCCTCATCTGAATGATCTGACACCATCTGCACCACCTGTGGGAAAGATTCAGATAAAATTCTGATCAGAGGATTCTGATTCTGTCTGTTGTTGCTTTATTTCTTTACATTTCTATTTATTGTGTAAATAAAGTTAAAAACTGAATAAAATACCAACTGCATTTTTTTTGCCATTTCCTGTGCTGCCTCGGTAAACTTTTGATGACTTTTCAAAATAAAAGGTGAATTTTTTTTTTTTATTACAGTGTATCCAGTAAGTATTCACAGCATTTCACTTGTTCCACATTTTGTGACTTTCTTGGGTATGTGCTTAGAGCTGCCCGATTTGAATATGAACCTTTGCCCCACACTGAGGTCCAGAGTACTCTTACACATTTTAACTGAATGAAGGGGCTTAGATTTTTCATGCAGGGCTAAAGACTGTTCAAATTTGGCCTCAGTCTTTCCTGAAGATTCTTATCCTGAATTCCATGACATCACTCCATGACCTGAACTCAGTGTGTTTCCCACTTTTACCAAATGCTTGAAGCTAGGATGTCTAATGTTATGAGATCATGGTTATCACATTAATATTTCTCCCTGCATACTTATTATATCTTGTGGCAACTTTAACTCCACGATTGCTCTGAACGCATCCTTCCAAATCTGAGAATTCTGTCTGGAGCTGGATTGTCAAAATCGTTTTTTAAAAAAATCTTTGTTCAGGAGATATTTTTCTTTTGCTAATTGCTCTGCACAGCACGCAGGACAAAGACAACACTCCTGGTTTTTATATCATACAAACAGGAAAGAAATGACATACCTAGTATCAATGTATTAGGATGGTTTACTGTATATTTCTTAAATCTATCTGTTATTCGCCAAAAAAAAAAAAAGTCATTTGTCAGTCAAAATGCTATAATTCTCTACATACGTACGTACATACATTCAGAGAGAGGGAGAACCACAGCACATCAATCTGAAGTAAATGTGCCATGAAAAGGTTTCCAAGCAGCAACTGACTGTTAAGTCTATAGTTGCCATTTTAACAAATGCTAACATGAAATGTATTTGCAGGTTAAGCTTTTAATTTATCTTTGGAATAATGTATGGCATCACATTCTAGTGTCCTAAAACGCTGAGCAGCAATATTTGCTCTTTATGGATGCAGTCTCACTCTCCATTCCTCCAAACACCTTTCAGCATTTATCTGTGGGTTTGCAGCACCGTCTGCTGGTCTACTGAGTATATTCGTGATGTGATCTCGTCCCCCAATTAAGCATTAAGTGTGAATGCCCTTAACACTTGCAATCGTGGTTTTAAAAAAAAGAAAGTACACTCTTTCATTTGCAAGGTTTAATCTATCAAGACATAATCAAAAATAATATGGTCCTTAGCAGGTCTTAAAATGAGGTAAATACCACTTTAAATGAACAACAAAACATGCCATGCCACTGTGGCATTGTTTATTTAACAAAAACTCTAAGGATACCCTATTATTGTAGGGTAGACGCCCTTTCAGCAGTAAAGTTATCAGAAAACAGTTCCTTAGGTATTTATATCTTTTGTATTTTTTTTTTTTCTTTTTTTTGTGTCCTCTCTGGCACTGTAGCAATCAGAATTATTGTCTGAAGAGCCAAGAAAAATGCCCAACAGATTTACTTTCCAAGTGGGCCTTTTGCTATACTGGCCCACTTGATTGTCATAGTTTATTTGATCTTTATTTTATTTTTTATTTTAAGTTATTACACTCAGAACGGGGGTGGGAAAGAGAAATAAGAAGAAAAGAGAAGTTGGGTAGAGAGTTAACAGAAAGAGAGGGAAAGAAAAATGGAGAAGAGGGATAGAGAGAGAAAAGACACTGAAAATCTGCTTCACCACCTGCTAAAAAAACAAACAAACAAGCAAAACGAAAACACAGCAGGGAAACCACAGTAACAACCAACATAAGCATAAATAACAGTAAATAATAAATACTGAATCTTACTGAGCAGCACATTAGCACGATATGTTCAGAGGCAGCAGCCAACCAAGAAGTGTCTGTGAGTACCTGTTTGTACACCTGTGTGTGTGTCGTGGTTTGTATTCGTAAGGTTTCTCCACCTAAGTGTCTAATAGTAGGTGTGTGGAGCCATAGCCCTGCCCCCAGGACATGAAGCAGGCATGGAGGAGATCCGGGCCCCAGACATCCCTAGGCCCCTCAGAGCACGAGAGCCCAAGCAGGACCACACACTCTCCTTTACACTAGGCTCAATTCATGTCTGCATCATGTGCACCTTTAAATCCTGTTTAAGCTTGAATAGTACAGGTCAGTACTAGTGCACTATTTAATACCCAAATTTTCTATCTGATGGCACACAAGAGTAAAACAACAACAACACATTTCTTTTAAAGGAAGTTTCAACTTATATGTGTTGTTGTTGTTGTTGTTGTTGTTGTTGTTGTTGTTTTTCATATGCTCCCCTTTAGTTCCTGAAAACCTTTCACATGAACTCTTAAGTACAAAAATATAAATGAAATAAACATGTTTCCAAATTCTGGAGCAGCCATAAACATCATTTTTCTGACGATACACATCGGTACCAAAGCACGTTTAGAATATTGGACGGTTTAATGTAGTATCCGGTGGGATGTAATAGCAGGTTAAAGAGACAATAACAACCACCACCCCCGGCCCTAGTCCCCCTCCCTCCTCCTCTTCTTAGACGCTCTGTCACATCGAGCTTGGTCGTGTCTCGCATTCGTCGGTGCTCCACTCCGGTCCCCGGGCGCTCCGGACCTGCCACGCGTGCAGAAACGTACTGTGGACCTACTCAGGAATTCTCCATCCCAACACCCAATTCCTGACGCTGAGGATTTACTTATTTAGTTCACAGTTTTCAGCCCAGTTTAAAAACTTTTCCGATCAGATTTTTTTTTCTCACCGGTGATGCCTCCGGACTGGAGACGCACTGGGACGCACCCGAACGTGAAAGGTGCAGCACTCTTAAACGGCCAAAGACTTCGAGGAAGCTCTGTGTACACAAAAATGAAAGAAAGTTGACGGTTTGGCGGCAGATTTGAGTTTAAAAACTATCAAAACCCAGAGATGGATCAATCGATCACACGGTTTCATTTTGCGGTTTAGAGCCATGAGGATGTGTGCAGCCCTGAGTCTCCTGTGTTTGTGGCTGTGCAGCGAGGCCGTCGTTTGTCAACTTCACTGGGACAAAACAAAGACGACGTTTAGTCCTTATAATAAATCCGCCACCGTTGAAAGGAATGTGCACAGCCGGAGATGGCGCACAGTCAGCCAGGAGGACCGTGGGGGGACACGCAGTACGAGTGCAGAAGCCTCATGGCTGGTTCCTCTAAACTCCTCGTCGTCTGAGCTGCCAGAGAAAAAGATCACCAGGCGCTCTCTGCGTGAAGGTGGTGCCCAAAGTGGAACTCGGTCATTTTTACCAGAAGTTTTAATTTTAGGCACGAAAGAAAATGATAAAAATGAGCCGAGCAATGAAGTGTCTAAACAAACCCAGCATGGACACAACTGCACGCGCAGGATGAGTGGACGCACACGAAGGCAAAGGCGGGTTGCCGTATCCGGCAGGGCGACGCACAGCGAACCGCTACCTGTGGCCATGGCGCAGGAGCTAGAAGCCGACCCCCCCTTCAGACTCAATACAAGTGACTATGAGGACGAGTACTCTCTCCCGGACTTTCCCGACACCACGCGGCTCGTTCCGGTGAACACGCGAACCAGACGCAAGCAGGTAAAGAATCCATTCTACCCGGTAACCGCGGATTCGTACGGAGCCTACGCTGTACTGATAACCGCCGCCCTCATCTTTACAGTGGGCATCATTGGGAACGTGTCGATCATGTGTATTGTATGTCACAACTACTACATGAGGAGCATCTCCAACTCGTTGCTAGCCAGCCTCGCGCTCTGGGATTTCGTCATCATCTTCTTCTGCTTGCCGCTTGTGGTGTTTCATGAGCTCACCAAGAAATGGCTGCTGGGAGAGTTCTCATGCAGGATTATCCCCTATCTGGAGGTGAGAGGCAGGGTGGTGGGGTAGTGATGGTTTGGTAGTCCCTCATGGTGCAGCAGATATAATTGTAGCCGAGTTCATCTTACAGGTGAGACCATCGCGGTCAAGTGAACCTCTAAATTGTTTTGCGCATCTACACAAAGCGCTCTCCTTCGTTCTCCTCCTCAATACACAATAAATCCTCCAATGACTACCTGAGACTGGCTTCAAAAGTGAGTCAGTCCATATATCAGTTTTTATTCCAGGACCAGGTCCAGGACCTTTTCCCCCTAATCCCCAAGTTTCATTTTATCTTCTTTTCAATTTTGCTGGTAATGAGCTTTTTCATTCATGATTTCTTGAAATCTTAAATGTGACCTGCATCCACAATATATCTGTACAGAGTTCCTTCTCAGCCAGGTGCATAATTCCTGACATGTTAAAAGAACATTATTCTCAACTTCAACACGTGTTCAAAACATTAATCAAAAGTGGCTCTTCATAGTTGACATGAAACTTTCAATACATTTCTCCACAGGCTCATCTACTCTACATCTGTGCTAAATTTTATTTCAAAATTAAAGGTCAACTCTGCTCAAATTGAAAAACTTAAAGGGATGTAATAATGTCATGTTAAAAATGTACTAAACATCGTATATATGATAGTTGACATGAAATGTTCCTCTTGGAAACCCACACTGTGTGTGTAGAGTTTCATCTTAACCCACTGCATAATTTCAGGAGAAATAAAATTACATTTCTGGTCAAACCCAACATGCTCAATCTAATATAATATCACATTAAACAATTACTCTACATATGTGCCACATCTAGTCTCTGCATGTTATGGAGGCCACACGTGAACTCAAGAACAGCTTTAGTGCTGGAGTTTCATCCAAAGACAAAATACTAAATCAAGTGGAGCCAGGAATACACATTCTAGGGAAAACTACGGGTACATAATAGTGAAAACATGTAGCAAAGAGCACACAACTATGGTAGGACAATGACAAAGGACAGCAGACGACAGAGATAATAAGTACACACTGGATATCAAGAGGAGAGGCAACAGGCTGGACACACGGGTGGAAGCTATAGACATAACAAGGCAGAGGAAGCAAACAACATGAGCCACAGAGAGCACTGGTTACCATAGTAAAATAGGAAAACACAACTACATGGGCAACAAGGCTTAACTTACATGGAGGAGAACAGGAGAACTACACAGATGAAGATGAGAAGTCACAAGAATAAATGCAGATGAGACTGGGACAGCAAGGAACACAGAACGGAACAAATTAATATCAACGAGACAGGAGAAGTAAAACTCAATACCAAGTACACAAGACTGTCATTTCCTGCCTGGGAACTGGTTGTAGTTTTGCTGACCCAAATGCTGTAAGCAAGAGATGAAGGTTACTAAAGTGAGCCTTTTTAATGAATGTGCGATAGACGGTTCAAAGCAAAAGCCAACACCCAGGAGTCAGAAGGAATAATTACTAAATTGGGAAATGCTATGGAAAATACAACAAGTGGAACAAAGGACAAAGAGAGACTGAGACAATAAATATAAGAGACAATGATTGAGGCAAGTAGGGGGCAGGTGGCGAACCACTGCTAAAACTAGACGACGAAGCACAGATGACAAAAGACTGCTAAAGTAAAAATAGAAAGTGACTAAACAGATGGCAGCCTCAAACACAAAGACTTGACATAGCGGTTCATGATGGAGGAGTCTATACGTTCTGTGATCCTGTGACGTAAATTTTGTGATCAGACAGTTAGTGTGGGGGTCTGCATGCCTGCCTCTTTTTGTGACCTCATGAGTTGTCCAATGCATTAACTATGTGAACATCAGGTCTCCAATAAATGAGTATAATCCAGGCTTAAAACCTGCTTAACAGTAATATCTACTCAGTTGTTGGGGTGTGAGGTCCCTGTGTCCGCAACAGAGTATAATCCAGGCTTAAAAAAGATATAAACTGTACAAAACAATAAATAGGAAGGGGTACACATGGAAATAACCAGAAACTGACACAAAGAACTAAACGGTAAATAGGCTGCACTTTGCTACTCCACCTGAGTACTCAAAGCGCTACAATATGCTTTATCCATCCATTCAAAGGAGCACTTTTTGCTACATATTCTACAAGGATAGTTTAACATGAGGACTGAAAGAACTACGGATCGAACCACGACCCGTGGTCTACGATGCTTCATATTGTGGCAAACAAAAAAAAACAACATGGATCAAATTGAGAGCCAACAGAACGTTAAATAATGACAAAAAATCAAAGACTATAACAGAAAACCCCAGGTCCAAAACCCTGGGGCAATCAGAACGTTTTCATAACTTCTTCTGTTCCCCTACATATTAATGAATTTATAAGAAAGGTTAGGGACAATAGGCTGTACATAAAAGAGATGAGGTTTAGCTGACACTCATCAGCTACAGCTGCCTGTTTCTGGATACCCCTAAAACCAGTATCCAGATGGGTAATAAATGAAATGTACCCATAATACAGAGGGAAAAAATTCCTTTCAGTCAAACTGTTTTTTATAAAAAAAATATTTCTGCTTTAAAGTTGGACCTTTATACCATGACTCTTCAGGGACTGACTCACTTTTAAAAGCATTTATTCTCACAAATGTATTAATTTAATTTTAATTTTATTTTATTGAAAAAAATTTTTTTTATCTGAATATCATCTCTTCTACTGACTCTATTACAAAAAACATCATACCTTTGCCTTTGAGACACTGACAGTTGTTGTTCAATTGGTGCTTACCTATATTCCCATAGCAAGTTATCATGTCTGCAGCTTGTGACAACTGAAAGGGTTTTAATGTGACATCTGGAGACAAAAGGTCTTATTTATTGTGTTTAAGCTTCTTAGCAGTGGAAGCTTTTTGTCTGAGGCAGTGACCTACATGAGTTTATTGACGTCATCACCTCTCCTTATTGTCACCTAATGTAGCGAGGTGTGGTATGCGGCTCCACTGCAGAGGAGGGATGGCGCCAGAGAGGCTGGCAGGGCAGCTGGAGCTGATCAGCCAATCAGGCTGTCCCTTTATCAGGAGGTCCTGCCAAAAGCTAGATAACTGAAAAGCTGAAAAGTGAACACTGTAAATAAAAACATCACTAGTATTGCAACAGTGGGTGTGACACACCTAAAAACTCTGCCGAGTCTGATTTTAGATCTTTAATTGATTTATCCAGTTTGGAACAGGCCAACATAAAATTTGTTTTTTTTATGAAGACCTTTTTTAAAGTCTAAATTGATTATATCTAATTTTTTTTCAATATGACAGTTTTGACCCTGATTTTGCATTGTGGGCGTATATCATGGGGGAGAGGCGGAGACTAATGATTGACTGCTCTTGTGTCACGTTTGTTACAAATTAAGAATGAGCAATTTGGGATACCACTCGCACCAGCCAACAGGTAAGACACACAGTTTCTGATTATCCATCCTGCCTCTTGCCCTTGACACACGCCCACAATGCAAAGTGGTCAAATAAATGTATAAATTGCTTTTTCCCAAAACTCTGCTGACAGTTCTGTGTTCAGGTTCTGTAGCCAGGCTTCCTGTATAAAAGCTGAAAACATTGGAGTATAAAAACAAGTGTTTGGAGGCTTCATTAGCACCAAGAACTCATAAATAGTCTGGTTAGCTGAAACTGTTTCAAAACTAATTATCTAATTTGAGTGTAATTAAAAAATGTGACTATGGAATATTGTATTTAGTAAAATACAATATGTGAAAATGTGAAAATGATGCAAACTGTCCATCTATACATAAAAAATACACACAATTTATGCATACAAAAAATATATATACAAATTTTTAAGACACATTTCTGATATATTATCATGGTTAATTTTTTTTTAGATTTATTTGAATTTAATGCTAACATTGTTAGAGACAAATTCTGGTCTAAAGTACTTTTTATTTTTACTTTACTTTACTTTACATAATTGTTACAGTTATGAAATTGTACTTTTAACTTTTAACCTGATTCTAGCCTTTCTCCCAGGTGGTTTCTCTTGGGATCACAACCTTCACACTGTGTGCTCTGTGCATTGATCGTTTCCGGGCAGCCACCAACGTGCAGATCTATTATGAGATGATTGAGAACTGGGCATCTACCACTGCAAAGCTGGCGGTCATCTGGGTGGGCGCTTTGCTGCTGGCGTTGCCTGAGCTGCTGATCAGACAGCTGGTCACTGAGGACGACGAGCCACCTGATGTGACACCATGTGAACGTTGTGTAGTTCGCATCTCAACAGACCTCCCGGACACACTCTATGTCTTGGGGCTCACCTACAACAGTGCACGCCTCTGGTGGTACTTTGGCTGCTTTTTCTGCCTGCCAACGCTGTTCACCATCTGCAGCTCACTAGCGACTGCCCGCAAGATCCGCAACGCCGAGTGGGCCTGTGTCCGTGGGGGCAAGAAGCAGCTTCAGCTGGAAAGCCAGATGAACTGTGCCGTGGTAGCTTTGGCCATCCTCTATGGGTTCTGCATCATTCCAGAGAACATCTGCAACATCATTAATGTGTATATGGCGGCCACCATTCCCAGGAGAGCCCTGGACATTCTGCACCTTGTCAGCCAGATGATGCTCTTTTGCAAATCGGCTGTGACGCCCGTTTTGCTGTTTTGTCTATGCCAGCCATTTGCCAGAGCCTTCTTGGACTGCTGTTGCTGCTGCTGCGACGAATGTGGCCCGCCCCACTCCCCCACCACTGCCACTAGCAACATTGACAATGAGTGCACCACCACCGAGCTTGAGCTGTCGCCATTCAATACCACCCGCAGGGAAGCATCCACCTCTGCCACCTACTCTGCTGTGGGGACAAACTACTGAGGTCAATAATCAACATTGCCATTGTACCAATCCATAGCTATGATTTTGCACGCAAGGGTTGACCCTGCTTTCCAGCACTCGACGCTTGAGAGGGGAAGTACGATGCGATGATATGATAGATTATTGACAAGCGCTCTCTCCTACAGTGTCCAAGAGTGGAGCTACACCTGAGTGGATAAACACCTTGTCTCCCCAATTTTAAACCCAAACAAACATTCAATTCAAAAGCTTAGCAAAAACTTGTTTCTAAAATATCTGAGATAATTCAAAGGACATACAACTATATATAAAATGAACATTCTACATATTAAGTAGTTAGTTACAGTTTGTTCCATTATGAGAGGTGTTACACCAAACGCCCTGAATTGTCTAAAACAACCCGATGTACGGCAGGGCTGGAATGGCTGCAGTGAAAGGAATGTGTGGCTCCTGTGGACACAGACCCTGAGACTGCGCTTCATCTGATGGGATCAGCAGATAGTTTTTTGTTTGTTTGTTTACTTGTTTGTTTTTAAAACACCCCAAACTCTTGAACACGCTTATGTTTACTGACTCACCGAATGAACCTGCTCTCTATCTATTAACTGTTAAAAGATTTTCTATATTTGAATGAACAGTATTAGCCACTGGCAAAAACCTCAGCATTTTTAATGAACTCACTGGTATTTTTACTGAATCTGAGATCAGTTGTAAACTACTTTTTGTCACTGTTTACAAAATCTGAAACAAGACATGGTTGGTACATTTCTGATGTCACGAGAGTTTGTACCGTAATTCAATTTGTTTACAGATACTTTTGTAATTCTCCTCCGCACAGTTTAACTTTCAAAGCCAGAGGAGCGAATTTTACCCGTGGTTGTGCAGAAATGTTTTCACGTAAATATGCAGTTGTTTTAGCTCCACCAGCATTTCCTTCTGTGGTACAGACATTAGTAACAGTTACTGTAGTACCTAGATGTTTTAAATATAGTCAGTCACAACTGTTTTTTTTTTCTCTTTCTGTCAAAAATTGTAGTTAATTATAGAAAAGTATATAATTTTTTTTTTTAAAGAAATTTACATTGAAATAGACTTCATGTCTGTTGGCCCTTTGACACACTGGTGACCTGTCCACAGTATACCCCACTTCTTATCCTCTAGCAGCTGGGATAGGCTGGAGCCCCTCGGCAACCCCTAATTGGCCACTAACCTTTCAAAGAAAGATTTTAAGATTGTATTTATATTATTGTAGGTTTCTACCTTACAATATACAGTGCCTTGAGGCAACCACTGTTGTAATTTGATGCCACACAAATAAAACTCAATTGAATTTGAAGTAAATTTATATAGTAGTCAGTTCCCTTTCTCCAAATGGTCCTTTTAAGAAACTGTAACCAAATTATAATTTAGTATAAATAAAGATTTCATTAAAAAGCATTTTCCATGAAATTCATGCAACATTCAGTTTTTAGTTTTTATTGTTTTGTTTTGTTTTGTTTTGGGTTGTTTTTTTTTACAAAATGAAATATCACATTAATAAAAGAAAAAAATACATATCTTTGGAGTATGGTTTGAATATGATATTGTCTTTTTTGTGCAGAAAATTTCCACATAGTCACTTCAGTGTGGTCCCAAGTAGGGTAGGTTTTGATTATCGATTTATCGATTAAAATCGATTCTGGCTTGGATAACGTGATATCGATTCATTAAAATCCTGAATCGATTTTTTTATATAAATTTATTTTGGCCGAAATAAATTTCACCTGCGAAATGCCAGAATCTCAGGTGAAACCTCACAAGATTTCAACAACCACCAAACAGCTAAAACAGTAAATGAGAGCAGGAACACGGATTCTGCACAAAGACGTAAAAACAAAGCGCTGACGGATTAGAATCAGCGAGCTGTCGGCTTTCAGCCCCGACTGTCCGTGCCGTCGGGGCTGAAAGCCGACAGCTCGCTGATTCTGATGTTTCGGCGGGTCCGTGCTTTGTGTTTACGCCCTTTTTGATTTTTGTTTCACAAAGTTGAGGTTGGCTGTAGCATACTCCTTTGGATTTGATGTTTCTTTTGATGAGTTAAAAAAATTTATACCAAAATTCACTACTGAGAAATTAATCTCATCTTGCAGATTTCCAGAGACAAGTTCCTAGAATGGTACTTAGCTGCTATGGGCCTGAGTTCAGTCAAGTTATTGGCACATTTAAATGTAGTGATGCCAGGTAGTGATGTGGCTTGGTCAACCGAGCTGTGCAACAAAGATCGAGAGGTGCCAAAATGCAACCAAAGTGTAGTCTGGCTTAATGTGCACATAACTGACTTAAGATATGACTGTATGAGCACGTTGCTCTTTACAGGCATTTTAATAATATATCACTGCAGGAGCTCAGGGATTCACTGATAGTGCGATGCTGCAAAAGATTGACAAGATTAGACTTTTGTCAAAGTTTAGCTGTTCATAGAGCTTTAACACTTGGAGGACAAGAAAACATTTCTAAGTGAAGGATAGAAGTAGAGTGTGAGACGTCATTGCCATACATCCAGAGCACACAGCTACTATTGTTGCTGCAGTTCAAATTGAACTCGTTTACTCAGAATTGCAATCAGTCCAGTTAACAGTTGAACCTCCTTAAAACATGAACAGAAAGCAGACAGAACTGAAAAGTCAAATCAGAAATATAATTTATTATGAAAGGTTTTTTTCCCTCAAAAAACTGCTCTGATAGTTTATTTGCTGCATCACATTCAGCACAACCCTCAGCTGTTTTTTCTCTCACCATAATTTAGTCATCATCGTCACCATGCAACTAACGTGGACAGAGCACGCCATTGTCCATGCTTCGTGTTAGGGAGTTTGTCTCTCAGCTGGGCCGGCACAGTGAATAGTGTTACAGTGCCACAAACTGCACATCTAGCCTCATTTATGCTAAGACAATAAGTTGTTGCTGATGGTCTTTTTGTCCTGAAACAGTGCAGTCAGTAAACAAAAGACTGTAGGCAGTTTCTTCTTCTAGTGAAGTTCTTACTCTTAATTTAATTTTGTTAATACATGTTTCTAATTAATATTTTAATTAAATTAAAGTGCACCCCAAGACTTTTTTTTACTTTGCTTTTGTCCTTTAAGCAGTTCCCTTTACCAGGCAGTGTAAGTACTGTTGTAAAACTGCACAATGCTTTGAAGGCACTGATTTCAAAGTCACTTTCCTTGTTTGTGCCTATGAAAACAAATCTAAACACATCAGTAAAACTTCAAAAAAGAAAATATGTTCCAACACGTACACTGCTGATTGCAGCATTGAAGATGATGATGAGCTTATACAGAGGTGTTTCTTGACATGGGCTGAAAGATGTTTTCACATTTAGGCCGTATTTACACCAATCAAAATGCTCCTTACTGTTAACATAAATGACTTCTTCATTTCAGGAAAAATACCACTCTCTGTGTTGCACTGAAGTAGTAGGTTAAATGTATTAACATGGAGGCAGTGGCACTCCTGTTACTCGTTTTATTTAGGCTGTTTTAGGCTATAAAACAAAAGTTTTTATGTTTACATAAATATTTTAGCGTAAGTGCTGTTTCAAGTGTAAATACTGTGTAATGCAGGTTACCTGTAAGTTACAGTAGGCCTCACTACAATCATTAATACTTGTGAGTAATGCTGGACTCACAAAGAAGTCCTACCATTAATTAATATTTCAATCTTAAATATGAACAACCTATCTCTATTAATCAGCTATGTACCACAGGCCTTCAAGCTTACAGTTATTAAACCGTTACTTTAAAAGCCATGACTTGATCCAGATGTCTTAGTTAATTATAGGCTAATCTCCAACTTTGCTTTTATCTTAAAAATTCTTAAAAGAGTAATCAGAAAAACAGCTAACAGATCATCTGTAGAGGAATGGCTTATTGGAAGAGTTTCAGTCAGGTTTCAGAGCTCATCACAGAAACAGCTTTAGTGAAGGTTACAAATGATCTTCTTATGGCCTCTGACAGTGGACTCATCTCTGTGCTTGTCCTGCTAGACCTCAGTGCAGCGTTTGATACTGTTCTCAATAACATTTTATTACAACAATTAGAGCATGCTCTAGGTTAATTATGGTGTTCCACAGGGTTCGGTGCTAGGACCAGTTCTGTTTACATTATACATACTTTGGATGGCATAACCTTGGCCTCCGGTAACACTGTGAGGAACCTTGGAGTCATTTGTGAATAGGATATATCCTTCAGTGCACATTTTAAACAAATATGTAGGACTGCTTTCTTCACTTTGTGCAGTATCTCTAAAATTAGAAATATCCTGTCTCAGAGTGACGCTGAAAAACTAGTCCATGCATTTCTTACTTCCAGGCTGGACTACTGTAATTCATTATTATCAGGATGTCCCAAAAACTCCCTGAAAAGCCTTCAGTTAAACCAAAATCCCGCAGCAAGAGTCCTGACAGGGACTAGAAAGAAAGAGCATATTTCTCCTATATTGGTTTCTCTTCATTGACTCTGCGTTAAATCCAGCATGAATTCAAAATCCTGCTCCTCACATACAAGGTCTTAAATAATCAGGCCCCATCTTATCTTAATGATCTCGTGGTACCATATCACCCCATTAGAGCACTTCGCTCTCAGACTGCGGGCTGACTTGTTGCTCCAAGAGTATTTAAAAGTAGAATGGGAGGCAGGGCCTACAGATTTTAGGTCCCTCTTATTTTTTTCAGTTGTTGCCTGTCCCGTTCGGCACAGTAGAAATCAGAATTATTGTCTGAAGGCCAATAAAAATGCCAGATTTTATTTTCCCAAGTGGATCATTACGGTTTTGTCATACTAGTTCACTTGATTGATCTTTACTATTTATTTATTTAAATAAATAAATATTTAGCTTTTAAGGAATTTCAAGCGGAACAGACAGGACCAGGGTACAGGAAAGAGAAAGTTCAAGAAAAGGAGAGGGAAAGATCAACAAAGGAGAAGAGGGAAAGAGAGAAAAGACATTAAAAATCTGCTTTTTTTCCTGCTGGGAAAAAAAAGAAAACAAGCAAAAAGGAACAACACAGTAGGAAAACCACAGCAACAACCGAGATAAGGATGAATAACCTTAAGTAACAAATACTGAACAGTACTGAGTGGCACACAAGACCAACAATGCGGTAACAACAACATGCTTAGAGGCAGCAGCCAAGGAAGATAGTGTGTCAGTGAACACCTGTGTGCATGAGCGCGCTTGTGCTCATTCACAGTTAAACAGTTACAGTTTCACCATGTAACTATCTCTCTAGGGGCCTCTGACGAGCTCATGGGCCGCAATTGGTTGATTACTGTCAGGTGTGTGGAGCCAAGAGTGGGAATCTGAAAAAGCAGAGAACAGATATAAAAACAGAGGCAGAGGAAAACAAACTTTGGCAGAAATACAGGGAGAACAGAGGGATCATGACAGAAACATTGTTAAAACAAAAATCACACAAATTTCCTTACTTTTTATGCAAACTTTATTTCATAAGGCTTGAAAAAAGCATTTGAGACTTTGTACTCATTAGTTTACTTTGATAGAATCTGATGGCCATTGGAAAGAAGGTTTAGAGCACTTGCACATTGGCTTCTTTTTTCAGACCAAAAATGTATGTCAATCTTATATAAAGTCTGTTGATTAGCTGTATTCTAACATGGGATCATTTTAGATCTATTCTCATATGAACTCAAGCATTGGGAAGTATGGATATTAACCTGATGGTGAAACTAAAAGGAAAATGTGGGGCTCACCAAACTTAGTAAATGTGAACTATTTCATTATGATTCAGTGGTTCATTGTTGGCCCAAAAGTTGTTGTTTTTTTCTTAAAAATCTTTACTTTCATCTCATCATTTCAATTAACAGTGAATTTGTATTTATAGCATTTGTGCCCTCTGCTAATGGCATAACATTCTTGTTTAATTGTGTTCATAGCAGAATGATCCTGATGAGGCTCTTTTCATGTAAACCAAATTCTTCTCTAATCATCAGTTTGCCTTTGATTTGTTCTCTGGCACAAAATGTGCATGTTTAAGGCTTTTGTAAATGAAGCTGGCAGCCCCTGTTGCTGCTTCAGTAACTAGACAGCACCATTCATTCAGAAACAAAGGGGTGATGGGTACACAGGCTTCAGTATTGAACAAGCTGCTCACTGACCTTCTCCCAATTGCTCCCAGGGCTGTTTTCTGGGATAAGAAAGATATCCCCGGAGGGCTGGAACTGCTGCCTGTGACTGGTGGAGGGGAGCCAGGCTTCCAAAGTAACCAAACTACTTATCCGGGATTTTGCAAAGCACAAGACGTTTGGTGGTCTTAAGCAAAACAGCCATAAAGCTAACTATCATAAAAAACTATGAAAAAACATGAAGTTCCTTAATGCAAGACAGGGCTTGCTGCCAAATTGCCAGGTCCATGTTTCTGTTTTTTTTTTTTTTTTTGTCTTGGTTATAGA